CACTGTGTATATGTATACAAAGATCAACAATGCCTCTGTCATACCAATATTGCATGTGTCCAGCCTAATTGTAATTATGGGCATAACTGCAAGCTCAGATTAGTCAAAGCAGAAAGGCAGCATTCAGAAATGAGTGCGTCTCAACTCTCCAAGTATTTGCTCAACTTATTCATATATCTGCTTTCCTGGGCAAGTCACCATTCTGCCAGGGTTGGGGGAAGTTTTTATGTTGATTCACAAGCCACTTTGATGTCCTAACGAAAAGATCTCTTCCAAACTGCTGGAGTCACAATATTTCAACACACAGGTCAACATGAATTCACCTAAGTTGACTCCTTCCTTTGCTGGCTAAAATCTTACATACTAACAGGGTTTCAGGGCGTGTAATAATTTCCTGCTGTGGCTAAATTAACATTCCAGAACCCAATGGAAATTTTTTACTGCTCCTACAGTAACCTGCAGTTTCAGATAACTGCTGTTTACATAGAAGAGTGGTATTCAGATGGAGAGACCTACCACACTCGGGAGGTTACTCAAAGCCTCCTCTACTTCTGGATAAATAGTTATGGCTGCAGATGTGTGTGATCTGCTTGAGAACTTACACAGGGTTTTAAAGATGTGCAGAGGATCCAGGTGGTTTTGAACAGGAAATTAGGATTGTGCAGGAAATGTGTGTGGCTTCTGAGTAGACTTCAACGGAGCAAGCAGACTTTACAAATGGAGTTAGTGAGTCACGGGCAGAAACATTGCCTTTAAGCAAACAGGAAGGGGAGAACTCCGTAGGAGCCAAAATGACTCAGAGGGAAATGAAACAGGACTATATAAAACTCTGCTGTGAGAATTTGCTAGCAAACCACACTGTAACAACTGATGTGCACAGGGGTCAGTGGGAACAGCAGTAAAATTAATTTGCACGCAGTTTTCCCAGAAGATCATCCAAAGAGTCCACATTTTATCTATTTTGCAAAGCTCTGCAGCCCACACAAAATTCATCTTAGTGTAATGTCCTCTCCACATTGTCATGCTAAGTGCAATAAAGGATAGTGGAAAGAGAGACAAATTAAAGTACTGGATCTCACCTGTCCTAGATCTCACCTGTCATGTGTGGTTTGACTCTAAAAAACAATTGCTAAATGATGCCTCACTAACAAGATGTTTGAGCTCTAAAATACACAATCTTGGATAAGTTACTAAAAATGCATCGGGAATCTAGGAAGAGGAAGCCAGAGGAACTGGGAACTGCTGCAAATTCATGTTTGCACGGATAATGATAGCACTGTAGAAGCATGTCCAAGCTGTGCTCAGGTGTTAAATTGTTTAAGCTCAATCTTGAACTATGACCATGTGCATATTATTGTGATTATATTAGAAAATCTGAAAGGTGAGTGCACAGCCCAAGCACGTAGAACATGCCCTAGCAGCCAACAAATGTTCATACTGCCATTTTTGCCACATTTCCTCCATTTTTGCCAGCCGTTTTTGCTACTCATGTAGAATAAAAATTACATTTACACAGAGATTAGGAATATGGCACACATGGAGACGCAGAGGCAGAAATGGAGTTTTAATGTGTACTGGGACTTTTCAGCCCCCTTAATAACACTTCTTTAAATCTCCAAACCAGTATTTGATGTGGCACATGGGGCTGCAGCTGGAAGGGAAAACCAGCCGCCCCCTGATGTATTCATGGAAAAATCAGACCCTTTGTAAATGCAAAATTTCTTAAACAGCTTTGAAATGACTTAAGGGGAACACTCTGAAGTTACAGGTAGTACACACAGAGAAGAAGGTTTTGAGATATCAAGAGACAAGTGCAAGGGGACCTCAAGATTGTCTTACATCACAAACAGGGATATTCTTTTTCATCATATAATCCTGATGCTCTGAAATGAGAAATCAGCATGTGTTTATTTGTGAACCGCTCAGCCTCTTGAAGATCCTGGCTATCATAAGAGCCCATTCTTTGGAATGCAGCATTTTTCATTAATAGGTTTTGATATCCTTTGAGCATATGTGATATAGATTAAGGTGGTTTTACAAAAACAACGTAAAGCGGGTGAGAGGGATTTTTGGCTCTCCTGATGTTGCTGGTCTACAACTATCCATGACCATCGGCCATGCTGTGCAGGACTGGTGGCGTAGCATGGATTGTCAGTGCCCGGGGTCAAGCCTAGGGAGTGGGGGGGGAGGGAAATGGGTGGAGTTCGCATGCGCATTAAACCGCCTAGCGTCGTCCATGTCACCCAGGAGATCACAGCCACAGAGATAAGAAAAGAAGAGTCGTTATATTGTCCGGAGAGGTCGCTTCCTGGTTCACATGGAGAAGACGTTTTCAGCGGAGCCCCGTGACGGAAGCATGCAGCTGTATTGAGGCAGCAGCAGGTGTCGAAATTTTGCACCCCTATTTTGCACTTGGGGCAGCCGCCTCTGTGCTCCCCACGCTACACCACTGTCTAGGGCTAATGGGATTTGGAGTCCAGCAACAACTGAAGGGACATTTTTGGCATAGAGGATGTATTCTTGAATGAAGAATATGTTGATTTGCGGACTTGACTCTCACCTACTCAGGTCTATAGTTAGAGGGGTAAGAGGCAACATGTGTTCCTGGAGATGCTGTGCTTTGGGGCAATTATTGTAAACCCTGTTTGAGCCAAGTTCTCATTTCAAGCCCAAATAAAGGGATGTAGGCAAGAACTGAATTTTGGGGTAGGGCAAGTGAAACGGAAGAATAAAAGTATTAAGATTGGATAATGGATGAATCATCCTGCTTTGAGCAGGAGGTTGGGTGGAAATACCCCTAACTCTGTGATTCTATTCTTTCACGCCATTTTTGTAGCTACTTCTTATTGCTGTTGTCAGGTACTGCTATAAGCCTTGGTGGTGGGACACTGGGGGTGCAGATTACTGGTGAAAAGGGCAGAGGGAGCCCAGGCACTGAGAATCTGACAGGTCAACTGAAAGCTATGAGTCTCTCCCCCCCCCCTCCCGTTCTGGTCCTGCTTGCAGCCAAGGATGCAATGTCAATGAAGCTTTTAGTCTAGAGTGCTGTTCCTAAATGCCAGGCTGGTCCATAATAAAATATCTGCCACCTAGTGGATAGTTGGTTATCCTGAGGACTGACCTGGGGTTACATAATCGGCAGGTGGTATTAGCCTGCTTCGGTTATATTTAACTTGGGTTCTTGGTTCAGCATTAGCACTCAATGGTTGGGAAAGTGTGGGTTCCATTTCCCCACCCTCTCCCCCATTTCCTTTCTAGCAGAGCTCACATTTAAAGCATTAGCCCCTGATATCACACACATGGGATTGAAGGATTCTGGTTCATGTTTAAACCACCCCAGTGACTACTCCTGACAGAGATGGTCTTTGACCTGATCTTGAGACTCACCAAGCTTTTCTTTCCGGGGATGGAGGAGGTCTTCAACATTCATGCCAAGACCTCCTTACCAAGTGTAACTACCCTTAACAACCATGGAGCTGGCCAAGAATACCTGTGGTCCTATAAATGTGATGGGTCATATGCTCAGTCTGGTGTTCCCTGCCAGGTGAGGTGATGGTGGGAGAGATGCCATGGAGAAATCACAACATGGTGGGGTTTAGAAGCATGGAGACCATAATACCTCCACAGGGATTGGAAACCAGTTAAGATGATCTGCCTGCCGAGACTGATGGATTCTTGGGACTCTTCCATTTTTGTAAATGTTACTCAGCTGGAGAACTGTGTTGCAGAATTTGGGAAAGTGTACGGTAAATTTCAATAAGTAGCTGCATTTCAGCTTGCATATTGTTTCAGAAAATGCAAATTTGGTTAAGTTCGCCTTTAAATGTGAATTGTTTCCCTATTCCTAACACCAGCATATATGTGACATTTCACCGTCCCAGTAGTCAGCCTGTTCCCTGAGTGCACTTATTTGCCGGAGCAGCAAATGTTAAAATAATTGCTTATGCAAAAGTCAAAGTGACTACCATCATGAAATCACAAGGGCTCATGTATCTTATCTACTCAAAAGTCATGAACGGCAGATTGCTTCTAGGAATCTTGACGGGCCAACATGGGAATGTGTGTCCTGTTAATTCGTTTTTCACTGTGCCCAAACAGTACAGCCAGCATTTCTCTCCTTTTTCATCCTGAACATGTGCAGAACTTCCGTTTTAGACTACAAACACCTATGTAAATAGATCATCTGAAGTGTTTTGCACAACTGGGTGCAAATCTTTTGCTCGGTGAAGATAGCCATCGGCTCCTGTTATCTGTAATCTGAACGATTCACTCTCTGCATCCCTAAACAGGCACACACAATGCTGCCACTGCTAGCGGTACCTACCAGCCGTTTACTGCATGTGCAAATCCAGCAAGGGGAATGGCGAACATAGCATGTGGGCTGAATGAAAGGATCCAACCCAGAAGGCATGCTTTGCGCACTGGTGAGTCTAGTTGGGTGTCACGGTTGCAAAATATTTACCATGCTTGGATTGGGGTGATTGCATTTAATTTATTTTTTAACTAGGATATAAATCTTGGAAACATTAAAAAAAAGAACTAAAATATGCAGTCACATTTTTTGTGCTGAGATCCAGGGACAAGTTGTAGGATCCCAGTTGCACACATTCGTCAAGCTCCCATATCCTAGAGACCACCTTTCCTTGTAGCAGCCCATCCCCCAGCTCTATAGTATTATTCGAACAAGACCATACCTCTCATTTTTATCAGTTCAGGAAATTTGAATTGTAGGCGCAGAAGCAGGGCCTTTACACTGATGGCCCCAGGACTTTGGGATGTTTCTCCCAGAGAACCTCCTTGCTTACATTTTGAAAAGACTATATAGCACCTACTGCAATTTCCAAAAAGCTTTCGGTTTCAGGAATTCTGTCGATTAATGTCAGTGGATTTGGTGGGTGCTGTTTTTATTATTTGTTTTTCAAGATTCATTCTCGTAACCCACTTTAATAGTCCACACAGGATAAGAAGAAGAAGAAAAAGAAAAAGAGACCACGGATGTTATAGTTACTCTTAGAGCTTGCATATTTATTGAACAAATCCTACTAAAAGAGCTAAAATACATTGGGTACTTGTAGTGCATTATTAAAGATCACACTGTTACAAAAGCCTACATTTTCAGCAGTACACAACTGCAACTATACATAAATGCCACAACTGCTGAATACTGATTCTTGCTATATGTATATACAGCACAATTGACGCTACCTAGTCTACTAGAAAGAAAGCGCACGAGAATAGGGAAGGAGAAGGAAGAGGAGGAGGAGGAGGAAGTGGAAAGAAAACTAAGAATTGCAGTGCATGCATTGGTATTTAACAGTCAGAAGCTAAACAGTTCAGGTCAAAACCTGCCCAGTCAAAGGAAGAGCTGAAAGACAGAGTTATATAAAAAAATCAAGGTGGGCTTCCAGACTGTGTCTAACACAACAACATTCCATGAGGAGATGGTACAATTTTGTATTGTATTTTGTTTCCTAATACCCTGGGAGCAAGAACAAAAATGTAAAACCCACACATTGGAAAGACTGTGGAATTCTATTCATTGCTTTTTTAAGAGTTTGTCATTTTATACATTTAAAGGAACGATTATGTTTTTGGGGGGAGGGGGAGAAACCAGCCAATTCTTGTTGATTTTAAGAGGACATGTAAAAACATGCTAACCCTCCCTTTAAAAAAAAAAGCCTTCCTAATAAATAAAAAAGACAAAATACATTAAGAAGACCCCTAAAGACCGTATGAAAATTATTGCTATTCTTTATCCAAATGATATAAGCAGGATGGCAGAAAGGAACTCGTAGTAAATTACAGTTTTGTGATTGCTCCCACTTACCATTTCAAGTTTGTGAGCACACCCAGGTGGGAATCGGTTCCGCACTTACTGTATTAGTAATTACTCACCCTACAACACTGAATAAGAAAGCCACACTGAAGACACAAGGAAACAAGTCAGTCCAGTCTAAAGAACGAGAACGAAGTACCAACACCTTCTTAGAACATGGAAATTAAAAATAACTCCATCAGAGCTACCTTGCCAAGGAGCACGTTTAAAGTCCAAAATAGCACCATTCATCAGTGTCTCAAATCCCGTGGCAGCATCTCAGTCACTTACCACAAGGAAACCATGAGTTTCATACTACTTCTATACATCAAAAGAGTACATGGATAAAATATAGAGATACACAGACAATCGATGAAAATAAACTACTAGGCTTGTTACATCTAAAATGAAATAAAAGGGGGACTCTCAGCCTCTGCAAGAAGCAGTTCGGAATCATGGAAATGAAGAGGCAGCAAAGTTACCAGTTGCATGCGGTCTGTTGAGTTTTGAGTAGTGGAAGACATTGTTGTGGTAGAACCAGGCCTGAAGGCCCACCTGTAAAGTTTGTAAACTTGGATTCACAGTGTGAAATTCTGAGAGCTTTGACTTGAGTCAGAATGGTTATAAACCGGTTTCATGATACGTATTTTCCCCCACTGTAATTCTCTATAGAAAGGCTCAGAGTCCCGTAATTTTCTTCGTATGATTTACACAGAAACAATTCCCGATATATGACACCATGATGACCTCATCAACACCCATACATCATATTTAATACAAATGAGGAGTTATGATTAAAAAGAGGAGAGGTAATTTATTTTGGTGAAATGGTGTCCATAGCGATTTGCTGGTGCCAGGAGCGGAGCTTCCACCTTATCGTTCTTTTTGCGATTGACTTCCTTTGGGATGGGTAGGTTGTCCTACACAAGCAGGATGGGAGGAGAGAAAAGAGTTAGATGCCTTTCTACCGTACCAATGTAAAACCTTTCCCCTTACATACATTTGGCTTGTTACAGACTTGGTTTAAACATTAAGTATACACTACTTCAAGTTCAAAGTATTCGGTGGAAGAATGTTGTTTAGGATATTGTTTTCCAAACACGATGCAATCAACAAAACTGTGATGAATGGAGAAAACAAAACACACTACAATTTGCTTTCTAGAGTTCTGGGTCTTGGTAGGTGCAGAAGTCATGCCTTGGGAAATTCCCATCTTGACTGAATACCATGTCAATATGGTACATACAATTCCTCACAATTATAGCACCAGTAATCCCAACATACAGAGATTGCCCTTTGGCTAGTGTAACAAAGTGGTAGAGCATTACACAGCTTTTTCTTTCCTACATCTTGGAAAGCAAAAGGGCAGTATTATTTATTAGTTGCATTTGTATCGCTTCCAAGGAGCTCGCAGCAAAGTACATGAGATTTCCTCAGTATAAAGTTTCAAACTTCTGGCCGGAAGGGAATCGCTACCAGTTTCATAGTTAATGACTCTTCTTCTTTCTGCAACACTGAAGAGTATGGCCCCATCTGTTGGATAGCTCCTTCCCAATAAAATTTCCAAGATCAGAAGGACCTTCTCCAGGTAAAAGAACGATACCTAACCCCAGCAAGCTGACATAGGAGCAGCTGTTATTTTCTGACCAAGAAAACAAGATAGATTGTTTGCACAAGGTAGCACAGAGGGGAAGACTTCCTGTTCTTAATGTATCTGCAAACCTCCACAACAAGTGCATTCCTTATTCTGCATGTTTTGGATGTGTTTGGACACAGAGATGCGGTTGTGCAAGGCTGATGCTTAAGGCAGTTAGACACCTGGTTGCGTGCTCTGCACACAAAGTGCCAAGTGTAAGCAAGTGTGCAAAAAATAAACAAGGTAAAATCTGATTGCATAAATTTACAGACCAGGTGAGGATCATATTAAGTGCGACTAATACACGTCTGAGGGAGATAACTTACTGATAATAGCATGAAGAAGGTTGCTTTAAACCATCACTCAAAGGCACAGAACATTAATGCTAACAAGTTTGCCTGCCAATGAATTCATTTGGGTGTTAATCAGAGGCTCCATTTTTACTGGCATTTCTAATTTAGTGCACAGAAAATCCATTCGTGCTGCAAAAAATTGCCTAGTTATTGAAATGTACCTTTTTGCTGCCTGCCTTCTCCTGCCTTCTTAAATGGCTTGTTTCTTAGGCTCCTGGCACCCAGTAATGAACCCTTTTCCTGCAATAATTTACTGAAAGGCATATTTATTCTCTCAAAGTGGTAAGGAATGGTTAGCAGGCCATGCTGCCAGAAGCTGTGCTTTACTATCTAGATCGTCTTGCTAATACTTTCTTTCCCACACTGTCACTTCTAATGTTTAGTTCTTAGTTCCTATAATATATTATACCAAGTGCTTAAGCCTAGCTCTAACTTTAAACCTATGTTTAGCCTGTTTACTATTTAATGTCAGCGAGATTTAAAGTAAAGCCCATTATTATGCATTATCTTGAGCAGAGAGACACTGCAGAAAGAGAGTCCTAACAATAAATTCCACAAAGTCCTCATCATTATAGGTGAAATCCAGCACATAGGTAGGACAGAAATCTGATTGGTGTATGCAGGATTGCAACCAAGATAGTTAAATAGATATATATATATATTTGCTTTTCTGTGGCTACATGTAATTAGGCTAGACTCATTAGTCTTGAAAATTAGGATATATTAATTGCAGTAAGTATTAAATGCTCACATTTCTTTCTTGAAATTCTGCATCAGAAATCAGTTTTCACACCTCTATATTAACCTTGTTTAGTTTCAGTCTTCTTATATATTTATAATATTTCTATACTGTTAATATTCAAAATCCCCAAGTGATTCACATAACACACAATAAAACAATTTTTAAAAATGAATATCTATATATACAACATTATAACAAAAAACACAAAGTAACAAATGGGATTCTATAGGGGGTTGCCCTCCCATCCAAAACAGGTTGCTTCCCTCCGTTCAGATCAGCAATACCACCTCCATCTTATCTGGTTTACGTTTCAACTTGCTTGCCCTTATCCAAACTTGTTTGCTCTCATTTTCTTTAACTCAGAAATGGCAAACTCTTGAATAACGGCAACCTCCCGATCAGAATAAAATATTGGCTGCGGAATATTTTCCTAGACTCTATGCCAAGCAAAAATGTGGGAAGGTGGGGGAAGCCCACAACCCTATCTCATATATTCATGATTTTCCATATCCAGCATTTTTAGCTGTCCTAATAATTCTGCTACTCTACGGCCCTACCGCTGAGCCTGTTCAGGCAAAGCTATCTTGAAGCTGGAATCCAACTGTCGTACATTATTAATTCAAGCTGTCTCTGCAGTTATACACACTCAAGAGAATATCCAGCGGCCCAGTCCCATTTTATTGCAACACCAGCAAAGGGAGGTCATCAGCTGGAGCACAAACCAGCAGTGGCCTCTCTTTATGTCAGGGGCTGGCAGAAGGCAGATTGGCACTGGGTGGAAACAGCAGCATTCTGGGGCAGGGGTGGGCATATATAAAGCCCTTGAACTATTTACAATGAACTAAGGCAGGGGTGAGGAACTTGTGGTTCATTCAAACGTGTTATGTACTGAAGTTCTCACCCTGGGCCAACAGGGGGATACTGTAGATAGTTATGCAAATGAAGGATTGAAAGTGACGGTTCAGTGATTGGATAGTTTTAGAAAGTTGTTACAGTAACGTGGTACTGGAGCTCTATATAAGCAGGCTGACTGAGTCCTTCAGTTCAGTTCTGTTCTGGCCTCTGAATAAACAAGAGCTGTTGAAGAATCACTGTGTCGTCTGATATGTTCACCCACAACTTAACAAAACTCCACCTCCCAGCAGCCCCAGCCAGCCTGGCCAATGGCAAGGGATGATGGGAACTGTACTTAACATCTGGAGGACCACGGGTTCCCCTTCCCTGCAGTGAGTCTTCCACCTCACCCTGAGATCATGCACTCTTGCCCTGACGCCATGTGGCAACTCTCCAACAGGCCATTTGTTCTAAGAAGAATTGGGAGGAGAAAGAATCTTGGCAGGCCAGACATGGCATATGGGCCCCATGTTGACTTTCCTGTTCCTTGTGGAGAAAATGGAGGAGATGAAGTGGCTCATTTCCTAGTATTTTGCTGCCTTTAACCACATACTCTGTGGAGATTGTTTTCCCCCCACAGCGGTCTCCTACCTCCAGAAGTACTGATCTAATATGACCTCACGCCAGGAAGTGAACATGGCCAGGATGCCTGCATGGCAATCACAGTCAAAAATGCTAAGTCAAGAGAAATAACTTGCTCATCTCTTGCTATAAGGAAAACCCAACAATTAAGAAACTGTGGCTTTAGAAGCAGCACATATTGTATGTGCAATACAATTCTCTCTCTCTCTCTCTCTCTCTCTCTCACACACACACACACACACACACACAGAGTGAGAGAGAGCGCACTAAGTTTTGTGCTATGATCCTGTCTACTCCTGAGCTGAGAACTCACAGACATATTTCAAATTTAAAATAATGTATGTGTTTATGTTAAAGCTCTGGTTTACAGTTCACGAGAATTTGGCCCAAGATCTTTAGAATTCAAAGCTCCTTTTGTTGCATTTTACATTCCCTTAAATAAGTCAATTATTTCCTCAATTTTTTTTTGCTTGTCGTTTGGTTTTATTCATGGCTTTTTTTTTACTCTTAGAGGATATAGGAAGAAAACTAAAATTTTTAACATGCAAGCAACAGACAGACAGATAGATGAAAGATCTGGGCAGGGTGCCAAAAGTATTGTTTTGTGCAGTTCCTTTTCAGCTGTAAAAACAATCTCAACCCTGAAATTCTGCCATACAGTCATAAGATTAAATATATATATATCCCATGTGACCATACTAGGATCTGCAAATACAGTCTCTCTGTTCCTTGCAAACCATTTCCACTTGTCTAGTCCATGAGAAAGAGAAAGGGCTTTTTTGTCTGCAATTCTGAATTCATGAATCTATTCTTTTTTATTGCTCCTTCATTATATAAGGCTGTTTTAGATTAGTAAGAGGAGTTCATAAAATTGGAAGACTGAGCCCTTTTCACTATTTGTCTGTTATGTTCCATTAGCTCTAATTGTATAAACCTAATTTAAGATTGTGATTATAAAGGTTCTCTATTTCTATATAATATTCTAACGATAATATCCAGAAAGACAAATTGCATTGATTTAAGTCTTTAATAACATCCATAAGGTTGCAATCCTAAACATACCTACTAAGAAGCAAGGGTCATTGGGCACGGTGGGACTTACTTCTGAGTAAACACAAATAGGGCTGCACTGCAAGCTTCTTCCTTGGTTAATAAAACTCTAGCCATGGACGAAAGAGTTGTATTGGAAGAGGCAATTTCTGAAGTCTCCCTAGGTTTCAGAGGTGGCTCTTTACATTGGGGAGGGGAGATAAGAAACAAATTTTTGAGACTGCAACCCACAGGGCACTTTGCCAGCCCAAAGCATTCACCAGAGGCTTCACTATGGAAAATAAATGAGCAAATTGATCCTATTGAACTATTGCTGCAGTGGCATGCTGGCAATCCTCTATTCAGCTTTACTCCCTACAGTGGAGACTCTCATCACACTGTGGGAGTTCAGAGGGCTCCTCTCCCTTGCCAACACCTCCTGATGCCATAGAAGAGCCCATCATTCAGAGGGCAAAAGAAGGTGGAGGGATCAGCAGAGAGGAGAATCACAAGGGGAATGGCATGGCTACGGGGGCAGCTAGCAGCTGGTTCTCCCCATCAGATGGTCCAAGAAGAAGGGAGAGACTGAGAACGAAGGATTTCTAAGTTATCTGGCCACCATAACCAAACATGACCACCAAGGCCCAGCAGTGTGTAGGGGGCAGGTTGGGCTGGTCTAGGCTCCTTCTGAGACCTAGGCCTTTGGCCAGTGCCTGACCTCCTGGATTCCACATGGTCAGAGAGGAAGCCAGAGGGGAAGGAACTGTGACACTTTGCACCAGCCGAAGCCAAAAGTGTGTATGGATCAAGATTTCCTCTCTACCTGATGGACGCATACTATAAGGGTAATAAAGTGATAGTCACAACCCTGGGAACAAGGCTTCCTGTCCCTAGACCATACTGCCTGTGCCTTACTATAACACTACCATGTTGCACAGGGGAGGAAAGATCCAATGGATGGCACAGTGGCAGCAACAGACACTGGAATACAGTCGTACCTTGGATCCCGAATGCCTTGCGAGTCGAACGTTTTGGCTCCTGAACACCGTAAACCCAGAAGTGAGTCTTCTGGTTTGCAAACGTTATTTGGTACCTGAACGTCTGACATGACTTTTGCAGCTTCCGATTGCCTGCAGGAGCTTCCTGCAGCCAATCGGAAGCCGCGCCTTGGTTTTCGAATGTTTTGGAAGTCGAGCGGACTTCTGGAACAGATTCTGTTTGACTTCTGAGATACCACCTCTGAGGTGTGAGCAGTTCACTGCAGCATTAAATCAGACCTTAAGATACAGTGGTTGATTCTCCCATACATATATGTAATACACATAAAGTAATGAAAATTGAGAAGTGGTCTACAATCAGTGTTGTAACAGAATGCATAAATGTGATTAGCAATTAAGATAGGTCATAATTTCATTTTCAGGAACCATGTAGGTGAAATTACATGACGACTGTGCATGACAATCTTCATACCAAAGCCTGTGAATTTTGTGTGGCATGTGAGAGTACAGTGGAACCTTGGTTCTTGAACTTAATCTGTCCTGGAGGTCCATTCGACTCCCGAAACTGTTCAAAAGCCAAGGCGCAGCTTCCAATCGGCTGCAGGAGCTTCCTGCACTCAGGCGGAAACCACGGCGGATGTTCAGCTTCCAAAAAACATTCGAAAACCAAAACACTTACTTCCGGGTTTTCAGCATTTGGGAGCCAATTTGTTCGTCAACTAAGCTGTTCGAGAACCAAGATTCCACTGTAGCTGTTTCTTAATAAACACAGGGGCTATTTGGAGACTTGAGAGGAGTGGGAGGCTGCTTTGAATGCTCTACACATGAGCATGCAGTTGGCTTGTGTTTCTGTGAAACAGCTGTACTCTCACATTGAGCATCTCTGTACACTTGCCCTTCAAGTGAATGTACAGTGGTACCTTGGGTTACAAACACCTCAGGTTACAAACACTTTGGGTTACAGACTCCGCTAAGCCGGTAGTACCTCAGGTTAAGAACTTTACCTCAGGATGAGAACAGAAATTGCACAGCGGCGGCGTGGCAGCAGCGGGAAGCCCCATTAGCTAAAGTGGTACCTCAGGTTAAGAACGGCTTCAGGTTAAGAACAGAAATCCGGAACAAATTAAGTTCATAACCAGAGGTACCACCATATTGCTATTGTATAGCTATCTATCTTATTTGTCAGACAGAGATAGATGGATAGATAGATGATAGATAGATGATAGATAGATAGATAGATAGATAGATGATAGATAGATAGATAGATAGATGATAGATACACAATAGCAATACATTCACTCTATCTATCTAATATATTTTTTGATTAAATGGACAAAAGTATGGAATTAAAAATGACCATATTATTACAGTACATATTAATTTTAGAACTTATAGTACTGACTTTAATTAAGTACTATAATTACCTCCATTCTGCATGTATAGCCTCAGGTCCATGAGAGTCCTAAAATGTGTCAGGCTATCATAAAACCACTTCCATGTCATAATATAAACCAGCATGCAGCTCAGAAATTTTCTTCAATGAAATGCATAGAAAATGTGCTGTTGCCTGAATGACAGATTTGTTTGTGGGAATCTTCTTAGGACAGCTCTAGGACTATAACTGAAACTATGTTTCATCTGTTCACTGTTTTGCTTACTTGCCAATTTTGCTGCCAAATATCTGAGTCATCAGTAAAGAGGGATAAGAAAATAAGACCAGTATGTTTTGTGGCTTTGAGGAAACCATTTTTATCCTGTGCAAATTTCAGATCCAATTCTGGACATAATAAAACAAAAATAAGGCTGTTTAAACTTGTCAGGACAACTCAAGACACCTAAAGCCATTTTAACAATAGTATTACTATTTATCAACAATACAACCAAAAACTTGTATTTAATTCCACTGAAGGCTTCAAAGGTAGTGAAGATTTAAGGGCCAAATATGTCTTGCATGTAAATATGTGTAGCCACTGTAATATTTCGCCCCGTTTTCAATTCTTCAAAATGCTGTTGAAATTCTGTAACGTGTTTGTGTGTAATTGATGTGTGGGAGTGTGTGCAGCTAGCCCCAAGACTCTATGCAAACACACAGTTCAAGCTTTAAAATGCCAACTGAGATATTCTGAAAAGTACCTGAAGAAACCCTCCATGCTCATGGCTGATTGGAATGTGCTTCTGGCTTTCTGTGAACCTTGGATGATAAACCTACAGAAATATTAATACAATGAAACCAAAATTAATCATGAGGTTGCGGTCGTTTGCAGAATTGCAGTGCATAATTTGAAACAAAATGCAAGCAGGGTCCACATTGGTGCCCAGCAGTTCCACCAGCCTTCGGTTTCCCCGGAGTTTTTTAAAGCAAATTTCTAGTTCTTCTGACTAGCAAAAAGTTGAAACAGGGTGTACAAGAGAAGCCACTAACTGGAGGTTGTGAGGAATCTCCTAGAAACACAGTGCAATGGTTGAACTCGTTTTTGTATGTTAAAGACACCAAATTCAATCCCCTGGAATTGAAATCCATGTAGGACTTGGGTGAGGGACGCCCTCCATCTTCAGCCCTGGAAAGCCACCAATGGTTTAGTATTTGCTTCTTTGGACAAGAAAGGCTCCCAGAGCAGCTTAGAAAAATAGCGAGCAACATAGTCCTCACACTCAGCCTTACAATCTAAAAGAGACAACGCCCAAGGGGAGAAAACGGGATAAGGAATGAAGAAAAAGCAACGCCAGGTACCAGCTCTTAAAGTTATCAGCTTTGATGGACACAGATCAAGAAGTCTGATGGGATGATTGCCACCAAGTGACAGCCGAGGGAGAGCCAGAGGCAGCTGGTCTCTCAGCAGAAGCGATGCAACAGGCCTGCTTCCCTTCTCCCCCTCTGCTCTGTAAACTGATGTAGTAACTGCCACTGTGTGAAAAATAGTTGAATCTGAATTATTTTTTTAAGAATCAGTTTGTGGTTGTAGGGAAGGACAAGTTTTGGTATAGTTTTTCAGGGAGTTTCTTTGAACAATTCCCAAATTCCTCTTCGTTGCTTTTTACCTGAAGACCACCACAGAAGCAATAGGATTAAGGATTTCTGAAATGTTGACCATCTGTCCACAGACTGCCTGCTTCTTCCAATCACTGCTTCTGGGGAATAATGCTATGACGGGGCTTCAGATTTTGTGATAAGGATGATGCGGTATGAAGCACAAAGTCTGCGAGGGGAGAGGTAGGGGCACAGGGCAAAGAGGGAAAGCCACTCTGTCACCACCTACTGGTCTAAATCGGTATAAAGCAGTTTTCTACATTCTTCAGACATCCCTTAACCCAGAGAAGTGCTATGCATCATCTTATCCACACACCATTTTGCTCACCTGGTTTTGAACTAAGCTGATACTGAAATAAGCCTGCTTTTAATACAGTTTGACTGTTGCATTCGAATGATCACTATGCATAGTGTATGTAACACCTGTAACTTAATTTGCCATGTACTCACAGAATCTGGCATCAGTGGAGCTTAATTTCAACTATGTGAGGGGGTGAACTCCCCAGGCAGCAAAGGGTCTTACTTCCCGCAATACCTGCTGCATGCTTGTATCTGATTATTTACAATTTTGACTGCTCCAAATCAGAAATGAAACCTGTCTCCTCAAATGCCAGGTTATTGTCAGGCACACTGAGCTATCCTCAGAGAGGAGATGGCATGACTCTTTCTTCATTCTGCTCTTAAATCCTTCACAACCATCATTCCCACTCAGTTGGGCATTTATGCAAGGCAGCCATGTCTGCTACTTTTATTTCATTAATCTACAAAATTTTGCCTGCCAATCTTCGTTGTTGTCCATCACTATTGTGGCTGAATTTCTACCACTGGAAGAAAGCTAATGGTGTAAAAACCCTCACTTCTGGAACAGAAAAAAAGCAGAAATCCTGAAGATCCCAATCTATCTCCTTTTGTACAGATACAACAAATTGTGACGCTGCAACCCTTTGCACACTTACCTGAGGGTAATCCTCATTGAACTTGGTGGGGCATACTTCCTAATAAATACGCATAGGGCTTCACAGCATAGTAACTTGACATTTTTCCTTTCTAAGCCAAAGTCTCATATGAAAAAAGAAATGTGGCAAGAAATCAAATAGAAAATGCAAGTGGAAGAGGGTTGGGGTTTTTTAACCAACCTTTATTTTTTAACAGGGCTGTGAATGATCCCCCCCCCAAATCACACCCTTTAGTTCACTGGAAGCCTACAAACACCAGATTGGGAAAAGAGAAAGTGTTAATACGATGGTGTCTTTAGTAAAAGTAGAGGACCAGCTTCAAGTACCATCATTGCCAGAGAGAAAGGATCCTGGATAGTTGGACTAGGAAATCATAATCATTATGTAATTTGTACCCCACCCATCTGACTGGCTTGCCCCAGCCACTTTGGGCGGCTTCCAACAGATATAAGAACACAATAAAACATCAAACATTAACAACATCCCTAAACAGGGCTGCCTTCAGCTGTTTTGTAGTTCTTTATCTCCTTGACATCTGATGGGAGGGCGTTCCACAGGGCGGGCGCCACTACCGAGAAGACCCTCTGCCTGGTTCCCTGTAACTTCACTTCTCACAGTGAGGGAAAAGCCAGAAGGCCGTCAGAGCTGGACCTCAGTGTCGAGGCTGAATGATGGTGGTAGAGATGCTTCTTCAGGTATACAGGGCCTCCATAACTCTTGCCAAACAGATTTGGCAGCTGCATCTGGGGTAGATTGAGTTTGACACAGCGATGCTTGAGGAGTTCATTTGGTTCATATTCTGAAGTGAAATGACCTGAACTGAATCTAATGTATGGATTGGAATGTGGCTAGCTATCTTTTGGATCCTGTCATGTTCTAAGATTCTGCCAGAGCACATAGTTGTGCCTACTGTGTGGCGGCGAAAGCAGCAAAGAAGGCCTACATCACTGCTTCCATCATGTCCTCAAGAGCTCTTCAGGGTGGTCCATAGGCTGTTGACACCTATCTTAGGGAATGGAGCCTTGAACACCTCAGAGATGGTCTGCGAGTTGCTTTCTGGGCATTTTGAGGACAAAATTGTTTGTCTCCTTAGTGATCTAGATGTCACGACTAATTCAGTCCAAAGTGAGGTTTCCAACACTCCACCAACCCATCGGGAGTAGTCATTGGAGCTTTTGGAGCAATATGTCGTCAGTACCCCAATGATACCCAACTCCATGTTTCTGTAACATCTGAACTGAGAATACTTGAGAAGGCCCTGAACCAGTGTCTGGATGCAGCAATGGGATGGATGAGCGCTAATAGTGTTTGAATCCTGGCAAGACAGAACCTCGGTGGGTGAGTAGTTCCTGGGTCCAGGAAGGTGCTTTCCCTGGATGGAGATCATGCTCTCCTTGAAGGAGGAGGTGTGCTGTTTGGAGGTGCTCCTGGATCTATCTCTGTCTATCTATCTCGGTGGTGGTGTCCTTGGTGGCTAGGAATGCTTTAACTAACTTTGGTTGATAAGGCAGCTACATACATTCCCGGATCAGGGTAGCTTGACCACAGATGTCCTTGCACTGGTAACCTCATAGTTGGATTACCACAACACACACTATGTGAGACTACCCTTGAGGCTGGTCCAGAGGCAGCAGCTGGTGCAGAATTGGGTGGCTAGGTTGTTTGTGGAGGCAAAGCCACCACAGAACACCCTGCTTGCAGGATTTGGCCTAGATGCCAATCTGCTACTGGGCCAAGTTCAACGTGTGAGAACTAACCTAAGGCCTTATACACCAGGTTATCTGAGAAACATGCCTTACATATCCCAGTAAATTGCTGTGGTCGAGCTTTTCCGGCAAGTTCCAATAATCACAGAAGCCCACTCTACAGTAATTTGGAACAGAGCTTTTAGTGTGGCTGTTCTGTGAATAGCATTCCTGTTGAGATACAGCGCAGCTGAAGATATTTTTGTTCTGACAGCCTTCCCAGTTGGTCTTTTCCACAAGTGTCTCCTTGTTAGGATTTCAGGTATTTGCTGTTTTGTGTTTTTAAACAGTTTTTAATCATCAGTTTTTAATCATCAGTTTTTAATCATCAGTTTTTAATCAGTTTTTAGGTCGCCATGAGACAGTTGTTGAGGTGGTGATTTATAAATGATGATGATGATAATCTTGCCTTTGAAAATGTGCAGTGTTATGAGGTGGCCTTTAAACAAAATGGCAGCATTATTTTGAAAGTGTGTGGCTGTCACAGCATCAGCCAGGCTTTCTGGCCACTTGGGAAAAGCTGTTACTGGTACAGTAAGACAGGAACTTTTAAAAAAAGCCAGTATGAGGACCACCTTATAAAACTGCAAGTACAGATTTAATTTTTAAAAATCACATGGATTTTTTTTCAACAGCACATTAATATGGAATTAGAAATAAGAACATGTGAAAGTGGCGTGGTCCAGAAATAGACTGCTCTGTCCGCTTCTTGGAACTTTAAGTAAATGTTGAGGCACAGAAATTTAAAAGCACAGAAGCTTAAATAATGGCATGGCTCAGAAGAAGGCATCTCCTCGTATCTTTCATTTGCCATGTTTCTGTTAAGACACTGTATGTGGCTTAAATTCAGTTGTTAGATTACTTTGATGCAATCAGAAGGAGTGGCGCAGCAACAATGGAAGGTGAGAAAGGAAAGGGGCTAGGAAGTGGAGATTTGGAAGCTAAGACTGGAAACAGAGAGGTATCTTATGGGTGGGACAATCACATCCTGTCAGATTTTGAGGGAAACCTCCATTACTGATGCCATGGTAAACAGATAATGCAGACAGGGCCAAACTGTTTTACAAATCTTGCTTCCCTCTCTCTGAAATGTCAATTCACGTTAAAGCAAAACTGGGCAATATGCGAAGTGTGCTGATGCATTTCATGTATCTGCCTTTTTAAAAAACAAAATGAGCAGCAACCAGAAGGGAAGATCAGAACCAGGATTGTGCTGCCTCAGGTGGAAGTTAAGACTTTCACACAGCACTGTGGCCATTGAGAATATCCCCTACCTGAAGCTGCCATACATCTTAGGAGGAAGACCTCTAGAGGAGGGGTCGGCAACCTAAGGCCCATGGTGACCCCTGCCATCCCCCCCCCCCGCCTGCTCTTACTGTCACGGCGCAGTGCGGCACAGGGACCGACTTCCGGGTTAATGGCACCTGTGCGCATGCGCACGGGCGCTCCTCTGACCTGAATGAGCACTGGAAATAGCGTGTGCCCACACATGCGGGACAGAGAAGCACCTGTGCGCATGTGCACACGCTATTTCCGGTGCACTTCCGAGTCGGAGGAGCGCTGGAAACGGCATGTGCGCACAGGCGCTCCTTCGACCTGGAACAGCGCGCGCACACACACGCTCCAGCCCATCCTCTGACAGAAGGAGCATCAACCGGCCCATCCTCAAATAAGGTTGCCGACCTCTGCTCTAGAGCTAAGGATAGCTTCCCTTATGGGGGGAAACAGTTACATGAAATATGTAAATGCATTTCACATAGCATCTAGTTTGGGCCTTAGTTATACAGTAGTTTTCAACCACAATAGACCAGATGATTAACTAGTTTGGTAAGGCAAAAATTTGAATTAAGTCCCATTCTGTCTTATATTCATTATCTGGTAGATAGAGATGGCAGTATCTTTGACTTTTCTACACTGATAACTAGCTAGGTAATAAAGAGGTCAAATTTTTCTGGATAACAAAAATATAGGAAAAACAGTGCCTTTCATATTTACAGAATTCTGCAGGCAGGATAAGATCTAGGCAACCGACAGAAAGCATTTCGTTGCTCTAGTGCCCTAGTGTATTGCTCTGACATACTAAATTTATAAATAGAACTTGCCGTCAGCCTGCAGAGGCCCCTATAGCTTCTCAAAGCACTTCAGAGCTAGATGCTCAGGGAGATAGGGAACGACAAAGACATGTTCTAACATAGAACAAGATGAAAGGGAGTGCACTAGTTGGCTGGTAGCAAGAAGCAAACACCAGAGACAGCCTTGTTTCCTGGAGACCTATTCACAAGATCCGCATGGGGCACACCCAGATGTGATATGAGTATACCTGCACACGAGCTGGTATGATATGAACTGGTGCTTGATCCTTCTCAGCAAGGCTGTCAGCCAGCAGTTAAGGCGCCAGGGCCAACTTGTGTAAGCATCCACTCTGCCTGAACCTATTGCGGATCACTCCTTGGTATAGAAAGCTTTGACTGTAAGCAACTGGAGATGACCAGGATCGCAGGACAGGAAGGCAAGCAGAAGTAGAAGTCTCAGCAACTTCAGTATAGCCGTGTAGACTTTGTGGTTGCCAGCCAGCTGTTGCGAACAAGGATGCTTTTCTGTCGTAGTTTTCCTTACTGGAAATAGGCCAGCGTTCTTTTTGGCTCAACTTTATAGTAGTAATCAATGCCCAGCAGTGTGTGGCTGGTGATTTTTTTATTTTAGTTAAGGAGAACCAGTAAAGGTAAATGGCATTGCTAAGGCCTTCATGAGAAAAACCCTCTCGTTTTCATAGCCAAATTCTCTGGCGTTGCATTTGCGCTGGCATTCTTCTATAGATCTTCTTTGTTCCCCACCCCCGTACGATGTGCCTGCATAGCTCAGTTGGTTAGAGCATGATGCTGAAAATTCCAAGGTTGCAGGTTTGATCCCCATACGGGACAGCTGCATATTCCTGAGTTGCAGGGGTTGGGCTACAGACAGTCCTCAGAGTCCCTTCCAACTTGATTCTATGATACCTATGATGACTCAAGTTGCTAAACATTAACAGGCCGGAAGCAACTACATGCGGATAAGTAAATCCCACCTGCCCCTTTGAACACCTTCCTTGTGTTCACCCCTTTTCTTCCTCTTCTTCAGCTGCAGATATTAATTAGAAGATTCATTCCACAGGATTATGCACCTAGCCGCAGTACATTTCAGAGGATATTATGTCATCTATAATTTTTTTCAATGAGTCAGAAATTGTTTTAGGCTGCGATTCAAAAATTCCCATTAATTTCAGCAGATTTTATTCTACAGTAGCTGTGTGCAGGTTTGCATCCCAAAGTGATTTCCATTGGTCACTTTCTTCACAAGGTATAGATCTTGGTGGCTCAGTTAGTGCACACAAGTCTGGGCCTCCTCAAGTAACTATAGTACTGCCTTGTGTTCAAAAAATTATGACCTCATGTTTTGGTTAGAGCTAATATACAAGCTTTGCTTCCTATTGCAATAATATGGCAGTGCAGTACTATTTTCTTTGCTATCGTTAATTCTTCCCACTTCAGCTCATCCTATGGTTATGTTGGTCGCCTTCCCCTACTCCAACTAAAGTAGCTAACTAAAAGCTACTTAATATATTAAAGAAAAGTCAGGGTGTGGACAGTGGAAATGCATTTCCATTTTAAATATGGCATGAAAAACCTAGCCAATAAAGAAGAAAAATGTAGGAATTCTTAAAACTGAAAGGCTGCATCCTGCAAAAGAAACTAGCTATACTACCTACACAGAACACACAAGCTAGAAAAAACTTGTTCCTTACCATAACTTGTACTTGCTTATGTAGGGCCATAATCTCGGAAGGAGTTAAGAGCCACTTTGCAAAGGCAAATCATTACTGTGAACAGGCTTGGGGACAAACTGTCTCCCAAATATATCATGGATAATATACCACCATTTACAGGAATGGATTAGGATTGTACCCATGCAGTGCAATCCTATACTGGTTTACTTAGAAGAGCTCAATGGGACTTACTCCCCAGTAAATGTGTATAATATTGCAGCCTTATTTATATTTTGATTTTGTAGGAATAAGACTAAGGATTCACTCAGCGCATGTGGTTGCTCTTTTCTTCCAGAAAAGCGAAATTATTTTAATTGTTTTTATTATTATTACTGTATTTTTTAATTTATACGATTGTGGTTTTGTGCCATTGAAAGTTACTCTCAGTAGTTCATAGGCAAAACAAGAATGGGACAGAAATGTCTCTATAAACAAACAAACAAACCAACAAAATCACTAAACAATTATGCATTGTGTTTCTCTTCGCAGAGAGTTTAAATGGTCTACTTCTGCAATGTTATCAGTTCTACAGCATGTGCAAGAAGCTGGTCTTTCTTGGTGGTGGTGGGGAATACTTGCAGATGTCCATTAGGATTGGCGAAAGATAATGTGTCTAGTTACATATGTGTACACAGACACTAAGACTGAGGGGAAGGGCTTTGGCTCAGTGATACAGGTCCAACAAAAAGGGGCCCAGATAGCAGGATTAGGAAAGATCTGTGCTTGAGTCTTTATAGAGATGCTGCCACACAAGATTAGACAACACTGGGCTCAAGGGACCAGTTCTCTGACAGTCTAATCTTACAGTAAGACCTCGTGTTACGTTTGTTTCATGTTGCGGCTTTTCAGGTTATGAACGCGCCAAACCCAGAAGCGTTTACTTCTGGGTTTGCCCCGAGCGCATGCGCAGAAGTGATCTGCGTGCTTCGCACACTCGCAGAAGCGCTCTATCGCGCTTCACGCATGCGCAGTAGCAGTGCTCTACTTACAGACTTTTCAGGGTGCGAATGGCACCCCGAAACGGATCACGTTCGTAAGTAGAGGTACCACTGTATTTGTCAACTAACAAAGATAATAAATATATAGAGAGAGAAATAGACAGGCAGGTATTTTTAGACAATGGTGCCAAAGGGCACCTGCTTCAGGTTCCGTTCCTTCTATCATCCAGACACGCAGATTTGGGGGGCAGGGTGCATGACCCAATTCAGGTAGAATGAGACAGCCCCCACAGGCAGCTGCTTTTGATGTCATAAAATGGTAAAAGATTGTCAGTTATTGCATTTTTAGTGCCAGCAAGACAGAGACACAGCTGCGGAGTTTTCTGCCTCAGGCACCAAAGTAAGTTGACAGGCCAGGAGTTCAGTGCATCTTAACTTGGAAACGGATGGGGAGGGGAGACTTTTCCGCCTCAGGCTTTTCTTGGGGGCAGCCCTGCAATACAGCAGGGGGAACCACCTGCAGAATCCTTTCAATGTACACACGGCCCATCCGGGACTCTTGAAATATGAAGGGCAAATAACTCCGCTTCAGTTTCCATGCCAAACAAGCACATTAAACTTCATTTTTATCTGCAGAGACCACATGCAGGAGCCATGCGCCTTTCAGGAAATGGACCTGCTGCATTAGCACATCACATGACCCTGTCCCCCAACCCATAGAAGGGGGGAAAACACTAATTGGACAGGAGCATACCTCAGTATTTAACATCCCAATGAATGTTGATTTAGGTTTGGCTTCAAAGGGAGCAAGAGAGGAAATGGAATGTAATTAACAGCAAGTGGGGGCAGCACAGTCCTGCTGCCCACATTAGATTTCTTGGGCATGATGCAGACTGAATCCCTCCAAGGCCAGCCCTGTGGAGGCCTGCAGGGAACTAAGAACTGTGGGAGTGACCGACCTGCACAAAAAGCAGCCATGTTCCATGGCAAGATGAGAATTAGACTTACTGAGATCAGAGTTTGGGTACAAGACAGAATCAGAGACTACCGGGCAGACAAGTATTGTGCCGGGGGCCAACGCCAAAGTGCAGGGCACAGCAGAAAGATGTAACTGGAGAAGAAAAGAGGGTCAAAGCCAGGGGCTAATTGCTGAAGCATAGCCAGGATGATGACTGAGGGCAAGATCAAAGATAAGGCTTAAGGCACTGAGTAGCAAACAGGTGTTTCTACATGTGCTGCTCCAGGTCAGATCAGAGGGCAGAAATAATAAAGTTAGCCAGATACTTCAGGGCAAGGTTTTTCAACAAAGCCAGATGCTGGTTAAAGACATTAGCGCCCCTGCTAAGTAGAATTAGGTCATTTTTAAAACTTGACTTTAAAAACTATGGTGAGGAAACCAGGAACTCCTTGGACATACACAATCACTTCCACCTTCATACTGGGGCTTTGCTAGGGCTGTTTTTTTTTTCTGCCCTTCTTCTCCTAATACAAGGCTCCTCATCATGTTGAAGCTTCTTCCCAGGAGTGGATTATCAGGTGTTTTGTGGGACCACAATTGGACTCCAATCAGTGGTGCCATCTTGAATAAAATATGGGGGGAGCAGGCAAACCTCGCCCACATAATCGATCACACGATGCGGCACACATACACTACTTGAATGGGAATGTCCATCGACTTGGAGGGTGGCCCCCTCAAATATTTTATGGGGGAGCAAAGGGACCTTGGCCCCTAGGAGTTGGCTCCCATGACTCCAAGACCTGCTCAGCCCTTTGGATCCACTCAAGTGTTTGTATGAAGTAATGAAGAATAGGGAATGTCTGTGGTAGATAGTAAGAATCCTTCTGAACAAGGTCTCAAGTTTCAGCGATTTAGCAATTGTGTAGAAGCTCTGTGATGGCTGGGTTTTTAATCCATAGTAGTCTGTAATCCTGAAAAAAACCACAGTTGGGCGCCAATCTTATGCATACTTAGCTGTAATTCCCACTGAATTCAGTGGAGCTTACTTCTGAGTAAGCATGTATAGGATTGCACCATGCTTTATTTGGAGACAAATGATATTGTATTCAGTGGACCCTCCTTCCCAGTGAATGTGCACTGGACATACTGCAATGTTTTATTATTTTGAGGGAAGATTGCTGAACAAATTGCAGCTTTATGGAAGTTGTGTGGCACCAGCCAATATACACAATGACTCTTCTGTGTCCTCAGTTGTGATGACAGATGCATAGCAGTGGTTAGTTTTAGTACACTTGTGGTTCAACTGGCATTTATAACCACTTGTTTGCTGCTTGAAAATTAATCTTCCCTAGTAAAGTACATGAAAAGTCTTCTTTGGCTTTAGAAAACGAAGACTCATGTCTGGTGAAATAAACTGAACAATCGCTAACGATACAATCCATATTCACAAAGTGTGCTGCCAAAGTTTCCTGTGGCTGTTATGAAGTTGTTGCTTTTTCTTCGTTTCATTTTAAAGTATGATCTACTTGTGTTTTAAACAGTATTTTAAGTCACTTGGAGACATTCAGGTTACAAGCAACGGATAAATCTAAATAAATAATAACAATTATAATAATAACTTTCTAGCACAATGGTTAATTTAATAAAGGAGAAAAGTACTTCATAGGTAAAGGATTCCAGAAAGAAAAAGAATTTACAATAATTTATATAAAGTACTAATCATTATGCTTTGGAGAAAGTTGAATCTGTCATGCATTCCTTATTTTATTGGTTTAATTGTTTCACACTGCAAGACTGTGCATGTGTTCAACGGGCCTTACTACTTCTAAGTAATTAGTACATTTATTATCTATATCCTGCACTTCTGTGGTTGCACTCAACAACTAAATAAACATAGATACATTCCTAAAACACCATTAAAAAACAAATGATCACATTAACTTGTAATTTTTTTGTTTTACCTTTTTTTTTAAAAAAAACCGCTTTGAGGTTTTGTTTGGTTTACAATCCAGCGGTGTATAAATGTTTTGAAATAAGTAACAATTCAAATGAAATAGATAATAAACAGCTTTTAAAAAGAGTTAATCGTACATAGGATTGTGGAGTTTGTTTTTTCCTTTTCTTTTCCCACACACAAATCTCTTCACAACATCTATCCCGCCTGCTGTCTTTTATTTTGGAACCAATTTTGTAACAATGTAATTGCAGTGTAACTGCAGTCAAGCTGCTAGCTCTGCATTACTTTCCTCCTTTGGTAATAGAGGAAGTTTCGAAGGGAAACGTGCTCAGAAGGCAATAAAAGAGTCACCCCGCATGACTTCCCATGTTTTTTCACAATGGCCCATCAAACTATGCTCAGACATTAAACATCTGGTCCCTTTCATTGCTTAATACCCACCCACCCCTTCATTCATTGGTTATCATTATTATTTATTGGCCCTTACAGTATAATATATTGGTTAATATATGTGGTACTGTTGAGGCCATCCTCTTCCCACCCATTTCCTCAGTTTGCAATCTTGGCATCAGAGTTTGCCATCAGGGGTCATTATGGCAATCTCTTTAATGTGAGAAAGGGATATAAGGGAGAAAGAGAAAGGGAGCAAAATTCCAAATACCCAAGTCATAAATGATACTGAAAAGAGAAACGCATGGAAATTACTTTACAGCTGGTGTACTTCTACTGTAGAACTATAAACACCACCATGCAGGGTACATTTGGGTTAAAACTGCTTTACCCAAGGATGTCCAGATAAAACTTTACAAAAGGCTATGCAATTAATCTCCTGTGTGGCAAGAACATATGATAGACAAAATATAAATTATTTCTGCATCAGCTCTGATGACCTTTTAAAAGCAAAGGAATAGATATGCTAGCATGCTGCTCTGCATTTTTATTTTGCATATTTTAATGCATGTGGTGCATTAAAGGAGTTCCTCTTGTTCTGAGTCTCATTTCAAGAGAAACTTCCAGGTTTCCCTTCAGAACGCCTGGAAATGGAAAATCCAACTCACAAGGACTTTTCAAGTGCATTATTCATTGAATGGCAGATCCTCAAAATTCCAATGGATGCATTTTTAAAGGCCATGTTATGAACATGTGTTGCAATAAGCATGTCAATTTCATTTTTATAACAGAAGCTGGTTTTTTTATAATTAATAAATACATAAAATACTAAAACAAATCTTACCATTCTCAGGTTCAATTAAGACTTAGGGCTGCACGTTCTTTTGAGCAGCACAGGGAGAACACTCTGTAAAAGATTAAAATTAAAACAGAAAATGGCTATTTGTATTTAAAAATACAAAAGGCTTTTTGACAAACAGCAAGGAAGATGCATGTCTAAGGCTTGCAAATCAACCTTCCCACATGTGCTTATGCATCATGTTTCTCTGCACTTCAGTGGTCCATAGGCTTAACTATAGGATAGCAGAATCCCCGATACCTGGATCTGCAAAAACTCTATGCTATTCTTAGCACTCTGGACTCTTTGAAGTACACTACATCTAATGCTTAACCCACTTTAAAAACCAGACAAGACGAAAATAGTGCATTCTGTGCCAACTGCATAGCTTGTCCATTGTTCTCAGACAAATTAGCAGCTGGGTCCGCCCCCCTCCCTCCTTGAAGACAGCAGCATTACAGTCACACTTTCACAATGTAATAGCCCAGAGAGGGGATATTTTTGGAAATGGTACCGCATTACATAACCTCTAGCTCTCTCAAGCACTAAATGCAAGCTCACACCTCTTTCTCTGTGAGAATATTAACTTTCAGTGCAATTTTGCAGGAGCGTTTCATTCAATTGGCTACAAGAAAATCAACTGATTAACAGTTTTCTGAATACAGCTTCAATGACATCCAAGTGAGTTCATTATATATACACACACACAGTTTAATCTGTAATGTCTGTTTTATTAACATGCAAAATTTCATTAAGACTACAGGGATAAACTTAATATATGGTTGCATGCTGTTGGGGTTTTTTGGTGTTTTTTTTTTAAAGAAGATATGCTACGTAAAACATGTTAACCTTCTTCAGTGCAAACCAAATTTCAACCTAACAGAGATAATAGAATCTGCACACACATACCCCCCCAAAATGCATAATTTAAAATATAAAATTCACTCCAAGCTTAACTGCTGCACAAGCAAATGTGTAGAAGGCTGTTGCAGGAAGAATGCCTGCTTCTAAAAATATACACCCAAGGCAAGGCAACCATTAATATCCCAAGCTTAAAAATCCTCCCTTTGCGCAGAAAGACAGAGAGTTAAATCTACATATGCTGCACATTTTCTCCTTCTTCAACACTGCCTTCTTTGGAAACGTTAAGCAATATGGAAGGGGGGGGGTCTTACAAAAAGAAGAGTTAAAACCCCAGCAGAGTCAAGTAAAAGAAGGGAAGAAAGCGGGAGGGGAGGAATAACCCTGAAAGGAAAGGGAATCAAACAAAGAAAGAAAGAGTAGGGAAGAAGGAAAATCTGTGCATTTGGACGGGGAAACGTATATACTTACAGACAAAAGCCCCCGCTCCCTCCTCACTTTCTGTCCTTTCTACATGATCTGAAACACAAATGTGGATTCAAAAAGGGCAGCATGCTACAGCAGGGAATTTATAGAAGGGGAGAGGGGGGGTTGGGCAAGGGGGTGTGGGTAGGAATGACTGCACCTCTTTCAGAGGCAGCCTTGCAAAGGGAGGGTGGGAGAAAAGAAAAAAGGGGGTGGGGGCAACAGCAAGAGCTCGGGGAGGGGGGTCTCTCTCTCTCTCGCCCTCCCTCCCTCCTTTTCTCGCAGGCTTTGGTTGCCTGTGCTGGTTATATTGAACAATGAGCTAATTCTGATGGTAGCTGGCTGGGCGCCAAGCTCTCTCCCCCCCCCCCCAGCTTGCAAGCGCGCACCCCCCCTCCCTTTGCTGCTGCAGAGCCAGACTGCTTAGTCTGCAATAATCTGCAGCTCAAAGTCTCCCCCGCCCCCCACTTTTCCCAACCAACCTCTCTCTCTCTCTCTCCCCCGCCCCTCCTCTGCTCCTGTCTAGCAGACGGAGAACCACCCGACCAATCACTGGGCACACAGACCGGGGAATGCTGGAAACCCAGCAGCAGGGAAGAGGGAGGGGGGGTTGGAGGCAGCGGAGGCTTCGAACTAGTTCAGTTTCTCCTTCCCAGCCTCCCCATCCCCCCCACCCGAACCGCTGATGTGCCAGAGGCCCGAAACTACCCAGCGGAGGGCACTCATTGGTCAACTCAGCCGCCGGTCACTCGCCTTACCCCCCCCTACACCCACCCCCTTACCCGCGGATACCGCCGCCGCTTTCCAGACAAATAATAAAGAGCAGAGCTGGCGGGAGGGGTGCCAATGGCGAAGCGCAGCCAAGGGGATCTGCACAGCCGCGGCGCGGCGCCAGCCCAGACCGGAGCGGGGTGGGAGAGCGGGAGGCGGGAGGGAAGCAGCCACATACTGTAATAATAAACCTGCGGCGGCGGCGGCAAAGGGCATCTGAGGAGAATGGGCGGGAGGCGAGAGGTAGAGGCAGTAGCCGTCGCCGCCGCCTGCTGTGGAGAGGAGGGGGAAATGGTGGCCCGGGGGGGGGAGGGGGAAGTCGGCGCTGTGACACAGAAACACCCACACAAGGCCTCGGGGAAAGAGGGGCAGGCGGTGTGGGGGGAAAGAAAGAGCCGGTAGGGCTGGCGCACGCAACCCGAACACACCCGGAGAGGAGAAGGAGAAGGAGGCGCCGACGGAGAAACCCCAGGCCCAGGCCTCCCTGAGGCGGGAAAAGCGAACGGCGCCTCCTTCTCGCTCGCTTCAAGTTTAACCTGTGAAGGTCGCGCGGCGAGGGCCGAGGAGCCCACAAGCCTCTCAGTACCCCTGGAAGTATAAAGAAAACGCAACAATAAACAATTCGACGACCTTTCTTGACTTAACCCAAACCCGCTTGTCTTGTGTGCCTTGATAAGCTTCTCTTCGGGCTCCCCCCCCCCAGTTATGTTTTATTCAGATTCAACATGTTAAACATCCAACAGTCAAAACACGATTTCGTCTCTTCTTTTTTTGACGCTTTCCTCCTTTTTTCCATAGAGTTGTTTCTCCTCTCCTGCCTTCTATCTATCAAATCATAACCACGGTATTATAATCTAGTTACTTATATTCCTTATAGGTTCCTGCTCGCCAGTTAGTGGTACTATGATATTTCTTTAAATACTCCAAAAAGGGCATCCATTCTTCCACAAAACACTCATCATTAGATTCTCTTAATTTTGCAGTTAATTTTGCCAGTTCCAGACCCTCCAAGTGTCCCTGTTTTCCAGTGACAGCCCTGGATTTACAGAAGCCTCCTGTTTTTCCCGATTTGATCCCAGAATGTCCCATTTTCCATTAGGATGTCCCTGTTTTCAACAGAGAAATGTTGGAGGGTATGGAGTTATTTGACCCCGAGCCGTCTGAAGGCAATCCTGTATAGGGAAGTTTTTAAAAATGTTTAATGTTTTATTATGTTTTTATATATGTTGGAAGCTGCCCAGCTGGGGCAACCCAGAAAGATGTGTAGAGTATAACAGTAAAATTATCATTAAGGAATGGGGTGACTCTATTTTGATCAGAGTAATGTTGGAGGGTATGCAGTTCTGCATAGTCCATAAGCTTCAAGTGTGTTCACACAAACATTCATGTACACATAACCTTTTGCCCCATGGTTGTCACCGGCATAAAAGGGGGGTTGAAACAATACTAAATCCTCTTTAGAAGATACTAAAGTGGGGTTGTACATGCCAAGAGCAGTGATCCCTCTTTCAAGCTGCCTTCAAATACACACACACACACACACACACACACACACTATTACTTGTCTGTAGACAGCATGATGCATTGGTGCATGCCAAAAGAGAGGACAATCTGATGCACATCGGAGTGACCAAAAGAAAAAAGACCCAATTTAATTCAGTAAAAGGAAAGCAAAGAGGGTTAAGGAGGTACTTGTGTGTATGCGGCTATAGAATTCCTTCTGCATGTGCTACCCAACTTCAAATATTACTCATGCACACCCTGATTGGGTTGGACTGGTCTTAGCTGCCCAAATTTCCCATTTTAACCTTCCTGATAATCATTGAAAGCACTCGAGAGGCAGTTAATATAAAGTTGCACTTGGGAGTTCTATATTCAAGTCCTGGCATGCGACATCTTCAAGCAGATTTACAGCAGCAGAAACTTTCATGGACTGGTGCCCCCTGCTTCGTGTGCATGAAGATCTGCAGTGAGTAGATAGATACAATAATGGAAAAGTATAAATAACAGAACCCCACTCACCATGCCCCCCTCCACATCTTTCCCTCTTCCTAATGCAACACTAATGTCTCAACAAATGAAACTGATCTGTAGAAAATGTAACTTGAAAAAAGAGACATTGCACATACTTTTGTAAACCAATAAATTTTTAATAAAAATAGGTAAAATTTTAAAAAAAATTAAAAATAGCAGAGCCCAAAGGGGATGAAATGCAAGAGGTACCACATGTGCCATTTCTATATAAAGCTCAAATGTACACAATATAACAACAACAATGGTTGACGGACTCCTTGATGAAGCCAGCCCCCCTCTTCTCACTGACCCCAATCTGCAACATGTAAATATTAATGGCAATAATGAAAAGTTCAGCAGCTTATCGAGATTCTGGTAGTACCCTGGTGTAGTGGTGCATAGCATTTATAATCATGATTTAATATGTTTACTGTACTTGCATTATGTGGAATTTTATGTATTTGTACACCATCTTGCAATCAACAGGTAAAGAACAGTTTAGAAATGAAATAAAGTGTTGCAAGGACAAAATTCAGCAATGCATGCGGATTCCCATAGGCATCTTTGTGGCCACTGAGCAGAGCAGACCCACTGTTGAGGTGGGGTGAAGCACCTGCCTCAGGCAGCAGAAGTGTAAAAGACAGTGCCCCACCTGCCCCACCAATTCTGCTGCCGCTGGAATGCCACCCTCTTGCTGGTGAGAGGGAGGCATTCTGGCACGTGGCATTGTCACTTGTCTTCTGCATCTCTGGGGAAAGAAGAATGGGGGTGGGCTTTCCAGCAGTGGCAGAAGTGGGGAGGCAGATGGTAGGGAGCAGCAGATTCCCATTTTGCTTCAGGTGGCGAAACAGGACAGGCCACCCCTGACTATGAGAACATGATACTGTACTAAATGGACCAGCAGTCTCTCCTTATGTTCTTAAAGCAACTTGCATCAAACAAAAAGTCTGCAAATTTTGTGAATAATGTAACTTTTCCAGATGATCAATTGTTACTGTGCTACAAAGGTTTACGTGTTGTTCAGTTCTTGTGTGGGAGGAATCCAGACATCTCTCAGATGAAGAACTTCTGTTTCAGACCCAACAATCCACAACATACTGTTGCTATGAAAATGGTATTGCTTCATGATCTAATGGAGCCATTGTAATTTTGGAGTACCCTCTAGAATAGACTTGTGTAAGTAAGTAAATAAATATCCCTGGCAAGTATTAAGCAGTATCTGCAACATAAATGGAGTTGAACAATACGACCCACCCAGTTATCTGCCATGCTGAAGCTCTGGGCATCAGCAAGCAGCTTGTGCCTGTTGTAGGAGCTGAACTCCAGCAGTCTCAAACAAAGACAAGAGAATCCCTATCTCTGTTGCTCTCAAAGTAAGCACTCTTCAGACTTTGATCTTGGCCAAGTTCCTAACTAAAGTGAAACTGCCAAGAGGCTTCTTCATATTTTTGTTTTGAGACTGATCACTTTCAACTCCCAAGCTAACCTTCTCTTCCTCTTGTGTAGCCTTTGCCAAACTGGTGCCCTCCAGATGTTTTGGATCTGTTCCCATCAGCCCCAGCCAGCATAGCCTTGTTGGCTGGGACTGATGGGAATTGTAGTGCAAAACATCTGGAAGCTGCCAGTTTGGTGGAGGCTCTTCCTTTGCGTGACATTCACACTTCTTTTAAAAGTGGAGGGAGGAGAAGCGACAGAGCTCTTCCTCAGTGCAGCAAAGCTAGTCCTTAATCTGTTATGTGTGGGCTTTTGAACTGAGACTTGCAGGCCTGCCTCCAAAAGATTAAACTATGATAGGTGTACACTTTGATATTTATCTTCTGAGGAAGTTCTACGTGCATCAGTTTCAAGTATATACTGAAGCAGTGTCTTATTAACCTTTGCAGAGATGGATTATCACCTCCCAAGATAAGCAGCTTACTCCCAACCACCTTCCTCCAGTTGTTGAATTCCTATGCTTGTTGTAAATTCACTTTTTCACATACTTGGAGTGATTTTCTATATCATCTGTATTTAAAGAGCAGTGCCTTATGAGCTTACTTTGTTTTGTCCGTAATGGGATGGGGGAATGTTGTGGAGCATTAAGGTAACTATTGATAAGCTCCGTCCAAGCCACTGGTATTTGGATCACCATAGTTTATTGGCTTTCTTTACTTCCAAGCAGGCATGAATAGGATTGCAGGTATTATTCCTTATAATGCAAGCCTATGGATGCCTCTCCCATCTCCATCAATTATCGGCTTACATAAAGGGACGCGGGTAGCGCTGTGGGTTAAACCACAGAGCCTAGGGCTTGCCGATCAGAAGGTCGGCAGTTCGAATCCCCGTGACGGGGTGAGCTCCCATTGCTCGGTCCCTGCTCCTGCCAACCTAGCAGTTCAAAAGCACGTCAGAGTGCAAGTAAATAAATAGGTACCACTCCAGCGGGAAGGTAAACGGCGTTTCCGTGCGCTGCTCTGGTTCGCCAGAAGTGGCTTAGTCATGCTGGCCACATGACCCGGAAGCTGTACACCGGCTCCCTCTGCCAATAAAGCGAGATGAGCGCTGCAACCCCAGAGTCGGTCACGACTGGACCTAATGGTCAGGGGTCCCTTTACCTTTTAACCTTCACAAAATATGGTCCCCCTCCCCCGGGGCAGATTTCAGATTCTAAGTCTGTATTTTTA